GTCAACTCTACAGAGTTAAGTAGATGATGCATAGTTCTAAATGTATATGTGCGTGGGATCCCCAAACCTAACCTTTATGTTGTTTTGCTAGAAACTCAAGAGTACAGCCACAGTGTTTGCATGCAGGGTATGGGGGAAGGCAACAGTCCATGGGTACGGAAAACCTAATCCATGTTTTTGTCCATCCTGGGAGGCTTTTAATCTGTCCTGAGTATTGCGGCCCTGGCCATGATTTATTGATTCATTGTGTTCATTATCATCCCCCCCCAGACAGGATGTGAGGAGGTATTATGAATTGGTAGCAGATAAAGAAGAGAAATGTTTTTTGCAGGCTCTGCTAGTTTACACCCTGTTTTGGGTGTAATACACCTGTTTTGGTCAGGGATATTTCTGATGTCTGCAGGAGTTTCCCTAAAACACCCTATATCAGTTAGTTCCTTTTCGTGGAAGGAACCTAGAAATCCGTGGGGAAGCCACTCAGAAAAAAGGTTAGCAAGAGCAGAGAGAAACGTTTGTAGAAAGGAGTAAGGAAGAAGAGGTACTAATTATAAGAGAAATAATTTGGTAAGTTGAGGCCGCATGGTGCAGAAACCGGAGTGCTGGGCGCGGACTCAGGACTCCTGACCTCCCAAGACGCCCCACCTGCTTTGTGTCCCTGTGGAGTGGGAAAAGTTACTTTCTTGAGGCAGCCTTTCCTCATCTTTAATAGCAATATCACTGACCCTTTCTCCCTCACAGGGTGGTGATAAGATCAAATTTTACATGTATCCACATGCATGTATTGCATGTTTTATAAATTTGGAAAAACAGATGTAAAACACAGTTTTTATTTGGTTTAGAAATATGAGTACTGTTACTGCATTTAGTTGGCAAAGGTTAGAAAAAAGCAAAGTTTCTAAGGAAATGATCTTTGGATAATTCCGAAGATTGATAAAGAATATATTCATAAATATTTTAAAAGACAAGGATAAAAAAGGTACAGAAATACTTAATATGTCTTTTTTTAATGAGGTGAAATTTACATGGGATAATGCATAGATCTTAAGCATACTATTTGAAAAGCTTTCTTAAATGTATATACCATTTAAATGTGTAACCACTACCACAATCTATATAACATTTTCATCATCCTAGAAAGTTCTCTCTTAACCTTTCCAGTCAGTCTCCACCCTCTTCCTTCTCCCAGGGCGACTGCTGTTCTAATTTCTGTCCCTATGGCTTAATTTTGCCTGTTCTTGAACATCATGTAAATGGAACATGTGTCTGGCTTCTTTTGCTCAAATGATGTTTTTGAGATGCATCCGTGTTGTGGGTATGTATCAGTTCCTTCCCTTTATTCCTTAGTATTACATGGTGTGAACATGTCATAGTTATCACTTCTGTTATTGATGGGTATTTAGGTTGTTTCCAGTTTGGGGCTATTATGAATAAAGCTACTATGAGCATTTCTTACAGGGTCTTTTTGTGGATGTTTGTTTTCATTTCCTTGCCTAAGTGACTAGGAATAGAAATACTTGGTTATAAAGTAGAAGTATGTTTAACTTTATAAGAAACTGCCATACTTCTTCCAAAGAGATTTTATGCTCCTGTCAGCAATGTGTGAGGATTCCAGTTGCTCTGTGTCTTTGCAGACATTTGGTTTTGTCAATCCTTTTAATTTTAGCCATTTTAGTATGGCCAAAATTGCACCTCATTGTGGTTTTAATCTGTAATTTTCCTGACGACTAATGTTAAACATCTTTTCATACGATTACTCCCATTCGGATATCTTTTACAAGGTGCCTCAAGTCTTTAGCACAACTAAATTTTAGTTTTAGCCCAAATAAATGGTCTTATTGAGTTGTTTATCTTATTATTGAGTTGTAAGAGTTCCTTTTCTAATCCATATAAAAATCCTTTGTCAGATATTGTGAATATTTTCTTACACTGTCTGGTTTGCCTTTAATTTTTTCTTTTGTTTGTTTTAGACAAGGTCTCCCTCCGTTGCCCAGGCTAGAGTACAGTGGTGTCATCATAGCTCACTGCAACCCCCACTGCCTGGGCTCAAGTGATCTTCCTGCCTCAGCCTCCCAAGTAGCTGGGACTACAGGTGCCTGCTACCAAA